CAGGAGGGCCAGCACCCACAGTGCCATGCTATGCTGCAGCCCCTGCTTCGCTCACCCACCCACCAGCAGTGGAGAAGGTGCAGGGCTGTGCGGCACTGCTTCTTTCCACTCTGGGGAGTTCTGGGAAAATGCGGGTGGGGAGGGTGGAGCAAGGGCAGGGCAGGGATGGGAGCGGGGAGGGAACAAGGGGGCCACATGTCGCCACTGCATGGGGTAATATCATTTTATTTGTAAGCTTGAGGCCAATTGTAGAAAATTGTGAAAATGCTAATGAATCCCAAAATATCATGAATCACTTATTCTCTGCTAATCACTATTCATTGTGCAGTTTAAAATATTTCAATTGTTTAACAGGGTAGCAGAAATAATACCAGATGTCTTAGCATGCCACATGTATAATGAAAAGTATAGACTCTTGTCAATAGACAAAAGTTCTATCCCTTTAACTATGCCAGTATAGTGCACAACACCCCAGTGATGTGGGTGCAGTTACTGCAGTATAGAGTGCCTTGTATCAGTACAACTATGGTGGTAGTGGTAGAGGAACAGTCTATATTAGTGTAAGGCCCTCATACCCATATATAGATACAACTGCAATCACACTAGGGCTCGTACTGGTGACTATATAGATACAACATCACACTCCTAATCAACATAGGCTACAAAACATTGTGTAGACCAGTCCAAACAAAACAAACAAACAAACAAACAAACAAACAAAAACTATTCTGGCTGCCATCCATAGCCTCATAATTATTTATCAAACCATTGGTAACTGTTTGTGAATAATGGTTCAGTTCACTGCTGCATTCCATGTATGCTATGTTCAACCCAAGGGTTAAAAATCATATGACATTCTGGAGAAACCATTACAAAAGCCACATTAATTTATTTAAAAAATTATTAAAATGTCAGTTTATTAATTGCTTCTGTTTTTACCATTGGAAACTATCTGAAATAAAGGATAAGAAAAAAATGCAAATTATTTTACAGAGACACATTTTGTTGTGATATGAGTTTGAAGGTAAGTTTTCCACTTTTCTTATTACTGACAGCAAGCAAAGTTCACTAGCAAAAGCAAACTGGAAAATGTCACTCAGCAATAGGAAATACTTCCAGTAGAGAGATTATTTCTCGTACGTGAATGAAAACCTCTCAAAGACTCTCCACAGGAAATGTATAGAGTGATCAGTTGCCTTCTAAGTAAAGTATGGCTTGATTCTGCTCTCATTTATGCCAATTTAAACCCAGCACTGGAAATTATAACACTTTATCTCAAGAAGGAAAACATGATCCCTGATTTTAAAAATATGCTCTTCTGCCACCCAGTGGAATAAAAAAATCATTGCTGCTGAA